TCCACTGATTAATTGTTCTCACTGTCAGGAAATTCCTCCTAAGTTGCTTCTCTCCTTGATTAGTTTCCACCCATTGCTTCTTGTTCTACCCTCAGGTGCCTTGGAGAATAGTTTAACTCCCTATTCTTTGTGGCAATCCTTTACATGGAGATTCTGGGCTGATTCCTCATTTAATTCCACCTCCAGGTTCTGCAAAGAAAGCAACAAAGATGATTAGGGGACTGGAGGCTAAAACATATGAAGAATGGTTGTAGGAACTGGGTCTAGTTTGATGAAAAGAAGGACTAGGGGAGACATGATAGCAGTGTTCCAATATCTCAGGGGTTGCCACAAAGAAGAGGAGGTCAAACTATTCTCCAAGGCACCTGAGGGTAGAAAAAGAAGCAATGGGTGGAAACTAATCAAGGAGAGAAGCAACTTAGGAGAAATTTCCTGACAGTTAGAACAATTAATCAGTGGAACAACTTGTTTCCAGAAGTTGTGAATGCTCCACCACTGGAAGGTTTTAAGAAGAAATTAAATAACCATTTGCCTGAAGTGGTGTAGGATTTCCTGCCTAAGCAGGGGGATAGACTAGAAGACCTCCAGGGTCCCTTCCAACTCTCTTATTCTATTTTATTCTATTAATAATGTACTGTGTTATCTTTTCTCATCCTGCCCTCTCTTTGTAATAGCTGTTGGTCAACCTGCAAAGAGCAAACGTCCGAAGGAACCTGGAGAGAACCGGATTAAGCCGAGCAACAAAAAAGTCAAAACCAGAACTCCCAAATTAAAAGAAAGAAACTCCACAGAGCCTTCCCCAAAAGTCAGCTCCATAATGACACGAGTGATGGAGAAAGGCCACTTCCAGAAACCCACGGCTACATTAAACCTTTCAACAGGTCAAAGTATAGAGCTTCGGTGCAAAGGGAATAAAATTGGATGGAGCTACCCTCCTTATCTTGACACCTTTAAAGACACCAGGCTTAGGTAAGGCTTGCCAGGTAAAAAAGGATGAAATGGCCCTGAGGCTTCATTGCAATTCTTTCTGAACAAAGCAGACAAATGTGGATGATCTTGTTCAGGCAAAACACATGAGACAGATAGAAAATCTGCTTGGTTTAGGAGAGAGCATCTCCCACATAGAATTAGATACAACCCTCTTCCAGGGGCCATGATAATCAGGGATTGTGGGAATTATAATCCAATACAACTGGAAGACATCTGGTTGGGAAAGGATCCCAAAGCCTTTCACCTAAAGCAATGAGAGGTCCTTGGTTTTCTCTGAGCTTGGTTGTTTTCTTGCAGACATTTCATTGCCCAAATTAGGCAATGACTAGTGACTAGCATTGATGATGTTACCTAGTTTGGGTAGTGAAACATCTGCAAGAAAACAACCAAACTCAGAGAAAACCAAGAACTCCTCATGTCAACTGTGAGCTACAAATATTCTCCTTTATTAGTACCTAAAGCAGGGGTGAAATTCATCAGGTTCGGACAGGTTCTGGAGAACCGGTAGCGGAAATTTTGAGTAGTTCAGAGAACCAGCAAATACCACCTCTGGCTGGCCC